GAGGGAGAGTGGGTGTATTTGGGTGGGAGAGCTGCTAGGATTCGCTGAAGGACTTCATGAGGAAGGACTTGGGTTGATACCCAAGGGACGGGGCGAGGGAGTGATTGCTCTTCTCTCAGATGAGGAAGGAGAGGAAGGCCTGCCTGGGGCAACATTTAAGAAGGCTCATGGTCAGCCTTGAAAGGAAGCCCCCCCCCACCGTTGTGCCCTGGGAAGAGGAGATTTTTGTTTGTGCTGCATTGGAGATGGATGGGTATGCTTAGCAGTAACGGTGGTCTCTCCTGTGTGCAGCATGGCGCTTTCATTTTCACAATTCTCTCTTTCTTTAAAGGTGGAGAGAGCAAGGTGTGCCAGTGTGTGCTAGGGGTTTCACTGTTCCCATACATATCTCTGTGTGCGGGGACTCCTCACCGGCCCATTTTGCAGTTGAGAAAACCAAGGGCTAAATGGATTTCAGAGCTTGCTGAAGGCTCCATAGCATGCAAGTGGCAGCACCAGCCCTCATACTTGAGTTCACGGATTCATGAATCCAGTGTCTGCCCTGCAGATGACGTTTTACCAGTCTCCCCAGTTTCCCAGTGAAAAGGAAGGAGAACCTGAGTTCCTATAAAGCTCCAAGTTCCCTTCGGTCAGCCAGTCCTTGTTCTTCATCATTGCCATATGAGGTGAAGAGTAAACAATTTTAGAAGTGATGAGACCCCTTAGCTTGGGAGGGTGTCGCCTTCAGAGCCTCTTCCTTTCTTCTGCAGTGTTCTACCCGGCGTAGTCCTCCCCAGGAGGAGGAAGAGGTAGAAGGCTAAGAGCATGGCTTGGTGTCTCAGCTTCCTTGTCTGTAAAATGGGATGGTGACTGTAATAATTCCTGCCACATAGAGGTTTTTGTTTTTTTTTTTAATGGAAGAGTAAATGAGATGAAGCCAGGCGTGGTGGCGCACACCTGTAATCCCAGCACTAGGGAGGCTGAAGCAGGAGGATCGCTGTGAGTTCGAGACCAGCCTGGGCTACACAGTGAGTTCCAGGTCAGTCTCAACTACACAGTGAGACCCTGTCTCAACCCCCCCCCCCAAAAAAAAGTAAATGAGATGAATAAAGGTTTTGGCATGGTATTCCATCACAGAAAGTAATGGATGAGTGTGAATGATTGTTAAAGTTAGGGCAGGAGGGCAAAACTGTGGGTTTGTGCACGACAGTCTGGTGGGATAGAGGTGGGAGAGGCAGGGTACAGGGACTTGTAGACTAGCTGGTTGCTGAAGGAAAGGCCTCCTCCTCACCAGCTGGTTCCTAGGGAGACAGGATGCCTGGTTCACACGTTTCATTTTCAGTCCTATACCCGTTACTGGAGTAAGGGGATGAACCTGGCCTCCCTTGGGAAGAGGGGGGCTGTAGATAAAGACTGGAAACAAACAGGTTGCACTTATGAGGCCGAGACCTAGGAGACAGGGGCAGTAGAAGGGTCGTATGCCCCCTATCTACCTCAGAGCATTATGCCCAGCCCCAACAATAAGCAACTATAGTTTTGCTGTAGCCTCCAATTATTACAACACGAAAAGTCTGGGGCTTAAATGGGAGTAAAGATTAGGCCCCACATCCCCAAATATACGCACTGCTATCTCAGTGTATTAATCATGACTTAACCAGACAAAAAGCACCAGTAGGAGATACACAAGAGATGTGTTGCAAGGAGTTGATGTGAGTGATTGTGGGGCTGGCTAGGCAGGCCCAAAATCAGCAAGGACAGGCAAGAGCCGAGAGCTGAAGCTACTGTCTACAGGCAGATTTTTTTTTTCTACAGGGAAAACTCAGCCCTGATTTTAAGACCTTTTCACATGACTGCATCAGACCCATCTAGATGATCTCAGATGCCCTACATTATTATTATTATTTTTTTTCATTTTATTGTTTATTGGTACTTTTTAAGTATACAGTACAGTTACATTCATCATTGGGATCTTGGACCTTTACGTGACAGATCTTGGTTCTCATTTTTTCCCCATTCCCCTGCCCTCCCTTCACCCCCTCCACTCTCCCCTATTTACAAACACTTTGTTTCCATTTTTTCCTTTTCTCCTATTTTTTCTTGTCCCTTATTTCCTTTCCCCTATTCTTCCCACTTCCCCCCACCTTTAGCCCTTTTCTTCCTATTTCACATTATCATTTATACAGTTTGTATACAGTAATACAATTTACACTTTTAGTTTTCCACACCAGAGAAGCTATTCAGTATTTACACATGCGTGTCTTATTTATTTCACTTAAGAGCATGGCCTCAATATGCATCCGTTTTCCTATGAATGACTCTAGTTTCTCATTCTTTATGGCTGAGTAATATTCCATTTTATAGAAAAACCACATCTTCTTTATCCTGTCCTACATTATTTACAGTCACAAATAATGGGCATTATTTACATCTACAAATACTGAATGTGTTGGACGGAGTAACCGTAATCTAGCCAACTTGACACTAAGATCAAGAGACGTCACCCTCAGGTGTTTGGCATGGTTTTGGTGGCCTACAAAATGTCGCTTTACTTTTATTCATGTGAGTACTGAGGATTAGCACATGCTGCACTGTGCCAAGTGATTTCCATAAACTATCTCAGTCCATATCTCAGAGCATCCTGTGAAGCAAGTGTCCTTGTTTCTAATTTTACAGGTTAAGAAAACAGCCTGAGAAGCGAGAAGCCTGCAACAGTCGCATGGTCTGCACACAGGTAGGAGTGCTTCTGTGTTCTGAACTATGACGTCGTTCGTTCCTCTCCTCTCAGCCTCTGCTCTCTCTGCCTCGTTTCCTTTTCTCCTGACGCAGGGTTCAAATCACTTATGGGTTATGGCTTGTGTCTAGCTGTCCCCCTAAAGCCTCATGCAGTCTTAAGTGCGGCTTTTTCGGAGGTGACTGGATCTAGAGTGTGTGATGCTGGGATTACTTCATAGTGCAACGCTAAACTCAAGGGCGCTAGGATTAAGGCTTTGTGAGTGCTTCACGCCCTAAGTAGCCCGGATAAGATATGCGGGATAGAAAGAGCTGTGGTCTTCCTTTGTTTGCTACCTTCTGCCTGCCATGAACTGTTTCTTCTCTGTGATGCCACCCTCCCTTGGAACCCTATACAAACTGTGAGGTAAATAAACCTTTCCTCCTCTAACTTTGGGTGTTGGGTATTTTGTCTCCACAACGAGAAAGGTAACCAAGACACTTCCTAATGTCGGGACGTTCCTGCCAGTTCCCCAGGTCTCTCCTCTGTGAAGTGGATCCTCCTTTCCTGGGCTTAGAGTGGCCGGGGGCCATTCCGGTATCGCCTTATTCAGGACTTTGCTGCCCCCTAGGGGCTTGGTACGATCACAGCAAGATCACGGCACGGATCAGATGGGCCCTCAGGAAGACAGGCAAATTTGCAGGTGAACTGCTGAGGACCTGCAGCATGGAAGGAAGGAGCAAGTGGAGGCGAGAGCTAATTCTGGGCCCAGCTGTAGAAACAATGCAGAGTCCACCGACTCTAATCCCCATCTCAGGACCGCAGACTTTTGTACCCAAGGATTTCTGAGAAATCCTTGAGGTGGTGGAGTTTTGACTCCTATAGTGCCCTGCCATCTCCCTGGCGCCCAAAGTGTTCCTGGAGCCCTCAGGAATGTCTAGGTGGGCATGGGGATCTTAGGAAAAAGCCAGGAACTTCTCTCACTCGATCAGGTCAACGGACAGGTCTGCAGTGCGCCTCAGGCTTCCAAAGGCACCCGTTCATTGCGGAGGGGAGGAGGAGGTGGCCCAGGGGCCAGCGAACGAGGCGGGGAAGAGGGCTACCCACATCCCCAAAGCCGGTCTATCCGGGCACTGCGCCCGGACTCTTCCCGCCACCGCCGAAGCCAACGCCCACAGTCGAGGTCTTCCCGCAGGCCCCGCCCCCGGCGGAAGGGGCGTGGCCACGA